GATTGTTGGGGGCAATATGCTGACTCTCTGTAAACCGCTTAGAGAGGCCTGAAAGGCCTATGAAGCGGTATATAAGTCTACTGCTATTGGAAAGCTCTCAAGTGCAGCTTTGGAGGGCCATATAACATACAGCCCGTCTGCCCCCCACTGAGCCCAGCAGAGCCAGCCCAGCCTAGCAGGTGAGAAGGAGAGAAAGGCTGAGGGGCTGGACAGGATGGGACAGCTTTGCAGAGGGGATTCTCCCTCCCACCGCAATGAGAGTGTGCGTGTGCTCCCTCATTTGAACCTCCTTGCCTTCAGATCCCCTCTGGGGAGCCCCTGCCCAGCCAGGGAGTCTCGGTGCCATCTTCCCAATTCAGCCAAGTTCCTCCCCAGGGTTGCTGCAGCTGCTTCAGTTGGGCCCCGCCAGGGACAGCAAGAGCAAAAATGGGGCCCAGGCTTCGCAGACACCCTCAAAGCAGCTGCCCCCCCAAACCAAGGGAGGAAGGAGGCGGCTACCTTGACGCATCGAGGAAGGAGCCACAGAGCCAAATGTTTCTCTGCCTCCTTCCACCAGGACCAGGAAAGGGAGCTGGGCCCTTTCTGCTGTCAGGGCCTCAATCCACATTCGGGAAGCCCCGGAATGACCTGAGCTGACCTCCAGCCTCAGTACCACAAGGAGCTGCTGCTCACTCGGTGCAAAGCCACAGCCGGCCGGCTGACCACGAGAGACAGAGGGGGCTTCTCCCAAAGCGGCAGAGGCCGGCCCTGCCACAGGCCGCCTCCCCGAGCAGCCTGGGAACCGTCCTACCGGCTTTGGCTCTGTGAAGCCGCGCGTGGCCAGCTTTGGCTCTGTGAAGCCGGGCGTGGCCAGCCGCTTTGGCTCTGTGAAGCCGCGCGTGGCCAGCCGCTTTGGCTCTGTGAAGCCGGGCGTGGCCAGTCGCTCTGGGCAAAGACCACCTGTGTTGGCCCAGCCCCCGCCTGGCTCTCCCTGCCCGAGGCTCTGCAGGTGTGGAGAGCTTTGGCCTGGACGGCTGTCAGGCAGCCTCCCTCCCTCTCTGTCTGTTAGAGGCGTTACTTTGGGGGGGGGGCTCCTCTTGCCCTGCTAAGAGCTCTGGGTGGGGGAAGGGCTTCCAGAGGGGTGGGGGTGGGGGCTTACCAGTGAAACACTGAGCTCCACCTGATACTCCTGCCGAGCCCGCAGGATCACCTGGTTC